TATGTACGTGTGAATGAGAGAAAACTGTGCATTGTTTATTGAAAATCATATTCTACAAAAGTAATTGACATGAGAAAGGTTTAAGATATGATTTTCAGTGAAAAACGTTCAAAAATAGCATAAACAGTGACTGATATACATATGTATACATATATTTATGCATACATATAAATGTATGCATATACATATGTATGAATGTGCGTGCATATGTATATATTATTTATATTTTTATATATATATATATATATGACAGACTAACAGAGACAGGAAAAAGAAAGTTACTCAGTGAAACACACCAGGACATAGGTAACGTTTTATCTCTGGATAGTAAAATCATGATTCTTGTTTTCATCTTTATCTTTGCTGAATATTCCACAATAATGCACCCTTTTAATAAACGGACAAAATAGAATCACCTTATAAAACAGTTAAGAATAAGAAAGAAATGAAACTGTAAAAGAGCCAGAAAACTTCTCCTAAGTTTTCAGATCAATTTTTATGTATGCAAACGCTCTTTCTAAGCATAGAAACAAAGCATAGTATCATTTAGAAAAGGATTACTAAGTGTGACTAAATAAAAACTTTAAACTTCTATAGATCCCTAAATACCATCACCAAAATTTAAAAGAAATTTGCAACATATGGGGGAAAAGAGTAAATATCCTTTTCATATAAAAAGTTCTCACAAATTATCCTGAAAATCTCCCATTTGTTCCTCTCCCCTCCTCTCCTTGGCCCGCCCACCCTCCACCCTTTCCTACTATGTTTTCCTGGACCTGGGAGACTCGTGTGCGTGGACTGTATCCACGGGCTGCCTTTGCGCTCCAGCTTCCTGGACCGTTGGCCAAGCTGTGCACCAGGAGCTAAGGGGCGGGGGAAGAGGGTGAGATCCAGCTATTCATCCCTTGGCTCCTCCTGCCGTCAGCCGAGGGTTACAGGTCCCTTGCGATTCCTCCCCCGAGGGCTCTCTCCTTCTCCAGGTGCTGCCAGCCAGTCCTCCTACGTGTCTCCCAGGGATGGACATGGAGCCACCCAGCTGCGCCCACCCAACATTACTAGCCCAGGATAACACACTCTCTCTTAGGTCTCTTCAATCTGCACTTTTATAAGTAGTTCCTTTAGTTTTATAAATAGTTCCTCAAAAGGGAAGGTGTGTTGTGTCGTCCTTTTGCCTGCAGGAGCCGTAACTAATACAGTAATCAAAAGAAAAGGACAAATAGCCCAGTAGAAAGGTCAAGAACAAACCCTTCACAAAACAAGAAATTCAAATCACTTATAAACACGAAAAAAAATATTTAGCATCACTGGTAATACATATGCACATATACGTATATGAATTAAACCAATGTGTGATCCCTTTGTCAACCTATCAAATTGAAAAAAAAATTAAATATTACCCAGTGTTGAAAGGATGGGAGCACATATAGATTCTCTCAAACACTGATGACTGGAATTGAAATTTCTGGGAATAATCTGACAGTATGTACAAAGAACACTAAAAATGTTGCTACCCTTTGACTCAGCAAATCCACTTCTAGGAAGATTGTCCTAAAGAACTAATCTAAGAGTTTCACAAAGATTTCTATAGAAGAATGTTCAGCAAAGCATTCTCCATAAGGTAAATTTCTGGAAATGACTTAGGTTTCCAGAAATTAGATAAGTTTTAGATAAATTGTGGGTCGTCCATATACACACTTTTTAAAAATCCTACTCGAGAAGAATAACTGGTAACTTTCTCTCGCACCTCTTTTTAAAACTGTCAATAAGTTCTGCCTACGCTATCTCCAAATCACATCCCAAATCCAATCACTTCTCACCATCTGCACTGCAAAAACTTTGGCCCAGGTTACCCTTAGTCCCTGCCTAGACAGCTACGGCAACTTCCCTAACTTCTCGCTCCAAATCCACCCAGCCCCGCCACAGAGCATCCACGCTGCAATAAGTGTGTCTCAGAGCAAAAACCCCATCACTTCATTCCCTGCCTAAAACCCTCCATGGCTTCCCACTGAAATTAGAATAAAGTTCAAACTCCTCCCCGTGACATCCGGAGCTCCTCCCGGTCTGGCCCTGCAGCTGATCACCTCCTGGCTCTCACGTCCACCACTCCCCCGACTGTCCTCTGCACCATGAGTCATGGCCGAGCTTGTTCCTGCTGTCTGCCTTCTCCTGAAAACTGTTTCTTCCAGTTTCGTGTTTCTATTAGTGCTAGAGTACAACATCTGCCTGCCCCAAGGTAACTGGCTTGAGGATCCCTGCTGAAGTAAGTAAGATCGTTTTCTAGGGCTTTTTAAATTTTGACTTACGTTGGAGAAAAAGGTCTCTTCCCCTTCTCTTTCCATCCAATCACCCAGCACACATGTCGATGGGCACTTACTATGTAGCAGTTCCTCTTGTAGGCACTGGGGCTCCCACGGTTAACAAGGTAGACGGGGGACCCTGCTGTCAGGAGGAAGAGGGTCGTAGTATGTCAACAAGGGAGGAGTGGTAGTCATTTCAAGTTCTCTGAAGGAAATCTTCATGTTGCTAGACGGGAAACGACTAAGAAGAGAAGATTGGTGGGTTGATTCTTTTGGAGTGGGGGGCATTTGAATTGAGATCTTGACAGACGCAGAGGTTATCAGCCATGCAGATGGCTTAGGAGGATGTGTTCTGGTCAGGGTCATGAGGTGGCAACGAGCTTGGCAAGTCAATATGCTGAAAGAAGGAGGTGATCGTGGCTAAAGCACAGTGAGAGAGGGAGAAGGTGGCCCAAGGTTGAGAGCTAGGCCATGTGCCTTCCAACACGAAGAAACCAGAGTGTAAAAAGGAAACCCACACACAGGGAGACACAAAAGCAAAAGAAAGTCCTCAGAGCCCTGCAGACATTCAAAACATGATTCCACTCTATGGTCAGCCCCATACCCACCCTTCCCAGACACCTGAGCAAGAAAATCCCCCTCTGTACTTCAGCGAGGTCTTCTGTCACTAAAACCAAGAGAGTCATGATTGATTTATCGATATATATGAATATGAGAAAGACTAAAAGTAGTTACCGTACACTGAAACATTAGCAATGATGTATCTGGGTTATAAAACTCATTCTCATCTCTGTACATTGCTTAACTTACGCTATTTCACAGTTGTGGCATTCTTTGTTTCTGTTTGTTTGTATTTTCTTACATTGCCCTCTCTCACCTCCGAGGGGGCGCAATGACAGGTGTGCTGGTGTTGCTCACACCTGCACTGCCTTTCACTCCTGCCCTGATGGGCCTGTCATGATCAAATGTGAAAAACATTGCAAAAGAAAATGGAGTATCTTCCTCAGTACTTCCTTTAGGGGGTAGAAATAATCCCTCTTGTTTGTGGGTTACCAGGCTCAAGATCACCTCAGATTAATTTGGGACAAAGACTTACTCTTTGAAATCAAGATTTCTGCTCACTTACAAAATCAGCCCTGAAAGCAAGTGGTTTCATAGTACTTTCAGAGCCCACAGCTAAATTGGGGTTCCAGTGTCAGAGCAGGTAGCAGCAACCTTTTGCCAACAGGAAATGAAGGGGACCTGGGCGCAGGTGTTTACAGTGTGCTTTTCACATACTTCTTCTACCTGGGAGACACCATGATGCCAGTTGTTCAAACCATAACCAGGAATCCCCCCCACAGGAAACTCGTTTATACCAGCAGACGCCTTGTGGCTCTCGTCTGACCGGTGTGCATTTTGCCTGCCTGACCGTGGTTCTGACACTGGAAGGTCAACCTTGCGTTCTCCCCAGCATCCCAGGGAAAACCAGGTGTGGGGCAGCCCCTGGTTCTTCAGCTGGGAGGCACAAGTTCAACACGCCACCACCACAGGAAACAAGTTCAAAGACTTGTACTCACAGATGCTGGGCAGGAAGGGCTCCATGAGTCAGGACGGCTGCCGTCCGTGCACAGGTCACATGTAAAATGAATGAAGAGTCAGGCAGGGAGAGAGAAAATCACATGGCAACTAGCATATGGGAATAAAGTGTGAGTCACTTAAGTCCCCGGGCAAATTCCTGCATGGTCTGTTTGGAGGAAGTGGCGGGAAAGCAGACACCCAGTCTGCTAGGTGGGAGAGATGCCCCTAAGTTATCATCTCCAGCCACTGGCTTGAGCCATTTGGGTGTGGTGTAGAATTGGAAACTGTCTGTGGTGACTGAGCCCTGCTTCTGGTACGAGAAACTTAAACCTCTATTCCAAATGGATACTGAGGCAACAGAAAATTACATAAGCATTCCCTACACGTGGTCATAGGCTTCCCATTGAATGCCACAGCGAGCCTTAAATCAACTTCATACGCATCTATGACACAGTTTCATTTACAGACTAATGGGTCCCCCTGTCCCCAGTTTACAGAAGAAGGAGGCAAAGTCTGGAACGTTGAAGTGACTTTCCAAGATCAACTCTTTCAGCCGTCTCTTTCTGGAGCATGCGGAACTTGGAGCGAAGGACAGCCTGAGACCAGGCAGAGCAGCCGGCTCATGGGCTGTACCTCGCTCTCTGAATTATTTCTTGGCAGAAAATGCTGCTTTGCTATCAGGACAGTCAAGTGTAGTTAGAACAAGCTCATGGAACAAAGCAGTTTAATTAAAGAAAAAAAAATGAGTTGGGTTACAGTGCTATTCTCTTCAATCCAAAATGGAAATTAATTTATAATAACCTTATCTTTTATTCATGGCATGCTGCATATTTCAGAGTATGTCAGCATCCTTATATTTTTCAGCTGAATGTGAAATAATTGTGTGTTTCCAATGGGCTGCGAGTCAGTTGAAATGCTGAAAGATCAGAGCTGAGTCTTGGCTAACCATTCAGGGAAATCTGAAGCCACCAAGGAGTAGCTTTGGTTTCCTATTCATGAGTCATGATGTTTAAAATTCAGAGGGCTGCTGCTGGCTTCAAACAGCCCTTTCAGATTGATCACTCCACATCCTAACTCCATCAGTGGTCGAGGACAAAGAAAGCCCATTCATTTTCCCCTTATGACCTCCTTCTCTTTTTGCAGACAAACCTGACGGAGCTGAAGTCGTTTGGTTCTCCTCCTCTGGCCGTCAGCAACGTCAGTGCTGCGGTGATGGTGCTCACGGCCCCCCGGGGCAAGGTACCCAAGGACCGGAGCTGGAAGGCTGCTAAGGTCACCATGGCCAAAGTGGATGGCTTCCTGGACTCGCTTATCAACTTCGACAAAGAGAACATTCACGAGAACTGCCTCAAAGCCATCAGACCATACCTGCAAGACCCTGAGTTCAATCCGGAGTTTGTGGCCACCAAGTCCTATGCAGCCGCTGGCCTCTGCTCTTGGGTCATCAACATTGTGAGGTTCTACGAGGTGTTCTGTGATGTGGAACCCAAGCGCCAAGCGCTGAGCAAAGCCACCTTGGACCTCACAGCTGCCCAGGAGAAGCTGGCAGCCATCAAAGCCAAGATCACTGTGAGTGAACCCAGAGCCCTCCCCCCATCCTGCTAGTTAGCCTCCAAGGCAAACAACATGCTCCAGCCATTACCCAATGCCTAATGTTATAGTTTTTAAAGAGAAATGGGAAAACCAAATTTTTATGCGAATCTCCTAATTTTTCAATAGAGGCAACTTTTCACATTTCTTTCTCAAACATCGTATAAGCCAAGCAAGGCAGTTCCAATGGACCATTGGTTTACAGCTCTGGTCATAAAGGGTTTTCTCCTTTTCCCCTGAGGGAAGAAAAGATAACGGGCAGATACATGTAATAGATGAACAGTATTACCCGTGGAGCCGGCTATCTTCTTATTAGCCACAAATGAATTTAACATTTTTGCACATTTGATAGTGAGGAACAAAAGGTTAAAATTTTGAGACTCTTTCCCCCCCACTGAAATGTAGGTTTTAGCTGCCTCACTTCACCTTTTGTACCTACTATACAATCAGTTCTAGCAACTTTGCCTGTCTCACTCTCAGTAGCAGGGGCATGTTTTATGCTATCTGCATTGTTTTATGGAAGGTTTTATTAATAAATTATAAAACACAAATCACATATTGTGGTTTAGGTGGTGGTCCCTTGTCTGTAAATATAAAACTGTGAGGGTCGGTAGCTTTTATAAACTCCATGTAGATGTTATTATTATATCTACTTCACTTGGGATTGGAGGATAGGAATGGTGATCCTGGGTTCACGCATATCTGGAGAGAAGATTCCCCTTATCAACCTGAAATAATCGAAAGGATCAGAATCCAGATTTAAAGAGTCTATTCAAGTGAGAAGCTGAGAACAGCCATCTGGAATACACAGACTCCAGAGAAATAGGGTCAGTTCTCCAAAGTTAAAAGTTAGAGTCTTGCTTATCTAGGCAGAAAACACAGAAATTCAGTAGGATTATAGCATTTTCTGTACAAGGCTGGTTTATGAGTTACAACAATAATATTAGTTTGTTTTGTTTTCCATACAGCTTGTTTCCATTTCCTTCCCAATTTCAAAGAGTATATTTAACATTCCATCTTAGACAATGTAATAGTCATGAAGTCTTTTTTTGTGGGAGAAAGGTAAGAGAGAAGTTAATCTGTACGGAAGGTCAATCAACAGTGAAGAGGAAATGTGTCTTCCTTGGCACCCTTTAGTCATTTACAACACTTTACAAAACAGTGCCGGTACAGAAGAAAGCTAATCTAATCAGAGAAACAAAAGTTACAGTTGCCTGTCACGAGACTCAGGTCCCATAATCACGTTCCCTTAACGCTCGAAATATTTTTAAATTCCAACCACATAGATTTTGAATTACTTACTTTCACACCCTTAAACTTCACCCTTCTCATTAAAATGGATACGACCAAAGTGACAGGTGGAAATCAGAATTCTGGAGGAGAATGTAGCAGCTAAAAATTCGTCGATCCACAGACCTCAGTTCTAATCCAAACTGTAATACTTAGAAAGGTCTTTAAAATGCCCAAACTTCAGCTTACTGAAGTAGAATGGACACAATAATAGTGTCCACTCATGGGACTGTTGTGAAGATTAGAAGATGTGCCACGTGTAAAACGGGAGCCCAGAGCCCAGCCCGTGACGCAGGGCAGCAGGAACTGCCCCCACTTCTCTGGGCTCGACTGCTCCGCCACTCTACCACTGCTGCCCCCTTCAGCCGTGTGTGCAACCCCGTACACGACTCAATTGCTGCTGTGATCAAGTTCAATCCAAAAAAATTTCTGGATCTTTAAAATCTGCATGTGCATTCTAGGCAAATAAGGTTTTTGCTGCAAATTTATCATGATGATACAGAGGGTTTTACAAATTGTGAAAGGTGAGATTATAGACATGCCACATGCCTCATGCAACATGGGTTTATTGATTTTTAGATTAAAATCTATGGCTAAAGGCCATAGTTGTAAAGATCTTTGCAACCAATCTCTCTATTTAAAAGAGATAGTTTGGTAAAGCAACTCATTTCCTTTCAAAGGCTTGCTTTATAAATCCAGATGTTCATGGACTAGTTTACTTAAAACAGGTGATAATCATCGTAACAATGGCCCACTTCAAAGAACACCAAGTACAAAACACCATAACATCCCCAAAACTGCTTTTGAGGGGGGAAAATATCTCCCACTAATTTTCATATTCTTCAGTCTCTCCCAGAAAAGTGTAACAAGAACTACATTTTCAAAGACTCTTGACTCAAGTTATTTTAACGAAAGGAACAGTTGGTGCAAAGGGAATGTTTTCAAAATGTTTATACCTTTTCAGTAGCCAACATTCACATGACGGGCCCACTCAACCTGTGAAAGCAATAAGAATATCTTAAAAATACTTGGCTACCTTTGGAAGGCGCTTCTTTTCTGCCAAAATATTTTCTAAAAAAAATGTATTCTTGCTTTTAACAACCTCCTCTCCATCCTTTGCCTATACACATGCCTGTCAACATCCCAAGAATGTGGACACTTCCTACTAACCACAGAGGAGTTGGGCTAACACCCATCCCTAGCACACAGGCCCACCCGGGCAAGAAAATTCTTCCCTTCATGCTGCTGAGGCCATTGCCGGCCTATTCCAGCCTCACACACTCACGCTCAAGCCTTCCTTTTAGGATCTTAGGATAATCCCTAGTGAACAATTTTATTCTCAAGATACATAAAGCGGAGGGGGTAAAGCATATTTCAAAACAGATTGTACAATATAATTTCAACTTAATTACTATACATAGAATAGAAATACATAAAAATGTTAACAGTAGTGTTTATCTTTGGGTGGTGGATTTTGGATGTTTTTGTTTGTTTATTTGATAATCTGTAGTTTCTCTTGTTCTATAATGAACATACATTAATGTTACAATTTATAAAAATGGTAGTAATGAGAACAAGTAAGGCATTTTCATTGAGTGTATAATCACACACACAGTAAAATATCACATGGTAGAGAAAGACTCCTAATGAGAAAAAGCAATCCCTTTAATTCTGATATCTATTTCAACTGATGGTTGAGGCCACATCAGGGCCTGCTACCTAGAGGCTTAACTGTGTTTTATGTGGCCCACAGATACTATTTGCAAATGATTTAATTAATTGCCAGTATTTAAAACAGCAGGGGCTTTTATGTAAAAATCAGATTCCTAGCCAGTCTAAAAATAATCAAAAGATTTCTGCATAACATTAATTGACCCTGGAGTTAAGTAGTAGCTTCCCATTCAAACAGGTGGCTTTGTGCATTTTGCCATAATCCTCACTAACTTATTTTTTTCAACACTAGACTCATCTGACTAGTTTCCATTCTCTGCTTATTTGCATTTCAGACTTCTGCCCCTGTGCTATGCTGCGATCTCCATTTCTTAATGTATTAATACCTTATGGAAGCAGTTGACTTCCTGCTAGCTAGCTGAGGCTCTGAGTTGTCTATCCCCATGTCTTCCCAATATGGTTATGGTAACTAGTTTTAGTTGATATGACCTTTATTTCTTGCTCCGTCACGTAGAGGCAGCTTCCTTGGAGCCTTCAGCTTTCAAGATAAAGCTATTTATTACCCTTGCCTTCAGCCCTTCCCCCTTCCTTCTACCTCCCAACTTCTATTATCATTATTTATCATATTTCTGCTTTGTATTATCAATTGCCAAGACTGAGAACATCCACATTCCCTTCTGTAGCCAAAATTGAGTGTCCCGGACTCTGTCCGTAGACTGATACACAAAGCTGAAAAATCAATAAATTTCATTTCTATTCTGTGAACATGTCTGTATTGTTCTTATCAGATTTAAGTGGTACACTGTAATTGCATTCCTTTTTTATACAACCTCTTTTCCCCCTGGAGTTTCTACCTTCTCTCTCTCTCTATTAGTTTCTTTAACTTCCATTATTTTTAAACTCTCCATTCAATTCAGTATTCTATGAGTACTTTTTTGTCCCCCCAAGTCTTTCTCCCTGGTTCAGAGCTCCCACCAGTGCTGGAGCAAAAGCACGTGTCACTGCTTTCTTGAGTCAGTTCCGGTGACTCCCGGACCCCAGCTACGGCTTCTTCTTTCTTGCTTTCTTCTTTTATTTTGCTATGGCTCATTCCCAGACAACTTTCTCAGCAGTAAAGTAAGAGGTAAATTTTCTGAATAATTATAGTCTAGAAATGTCTTTATTTTATTCTTAAACTGAACTAATAGCTTTGCTGAGTATTGAATTCTGAGTTGCTAACCTTTTTCCCATTGAACACTGAATGCTCTATGCTCTTGTCTGGTGAGAAGGAAACAGTCTGGGTCCCATTCCTTTGTACCTGCACTGTTTCCCCGCTTTCTTGAAGTCCTTCATCCTGTTCTTGATTCCTGGTCTCTGAAACTTTACATAGATGTGCGTAGATATCATTCTTTTTCTGTTCATACACTTGACATGTAAAGACTTATTTTCTTCAGCTCTGGAAAATTATTATTATATTCTTTGGTAATATCCCTTCTGTTTTCTTTTTAATCTATTTCTGGAATACATATTGGTTGAATGTTGGGCCTCCTAGATTGGTCCTCTGTTTTCTCACGTCTTTTTGGCAATGTATGTTTTCTTATCCTTTCATCTTTGAACCCTTCCCTTCAATTTATTATTTTTTACATTAACAATAATGGTAATTTCCACAAGAGTTTTTTTGTTCTCTCTTCCTTTTGATAGCATCCTGTTCTTGTTTCATGGATGAAATATCTTGAGTCCTCTGAGAAACTAATTGTGAAGGGTTGTAACTTTGTTGTTGCTGTTGCTGTTTTGTTGTTACTGAAATTATCTCTCTTTTTCTCAAATTATTTTTTCTTCTCGTTTCCCTTAGTCTAGGCTTTCATTTGATGTCTCCTTATCCTTTCATGTCTACAAGAGTAGCAATCAAAAGCTACTTATAGCTCTGTAGGCAGGGGCAGAGCAGTTGACTGGTGGGATTTGTTGTCAAGATCCAGTGAGTTGTGTTGGATGCATCCTAAATGCCAGAATGTGGCACCTTTTCTCTGCCTCTGTCAGTTCTCTTGCCGGTGACATAGGTGTGTGGTGGCATTGCGTACCGGGCATGTGGATGGAGATATGGGGGCAGGGACAATAGGCTTCCAATTAACCCTCCTATTGTCAGCTTCCCCCTCAGTCACACCTGACATTTCCACAATCTCCAGTTTATATGGGGCTCTGCAGGCCGATCAGCTTCCCCTTTGGTGAACTGTGGCCAACTCTGAGTTACAGCTCCCCCTGCTCTGCTCCCATGGTCTCCACTCCTCCGTCAGTGTGGTCCTCCATAAATCTAGTGTACTCCCTCACCCTCCAAATGGCCCTCACTGATTTGCTTGGTGTTATGGGCTTATGACTTTTTAAATTACTTCATGTCATTTTACAGAAGTCTTGGGAAGTAGAAGAGGTGAGTGGGCACGGCCAGTCTGCCATCATTAACTGAATAGCTCACCACCTGCTTTGCAAACTACTTGGCTGTGTGAACCTGGCCCTGAATTGATTTCACTTGTGTCTTAGTGATGGCCAACAAGGCAGCCTGAATGCCAGGTACTGCACGGACATGAGGCACATTTGGAGGTGTCTGGGGTACGTCCATGTGTCTTTGTGTATGCAAACATATATTCTGAGGGCAACAAAACCTATGTGCTTCAAGTCTAAATTCTTAATGAATTTAGAAAAAATTGAAACTACATCTTTCTAAAAAATGTTCCTATACTTTGTGGTAATGGGAGAGGATAGATGAGATTCAGTAAAACTGATCTTACACTTACAGGCCTTTAGATCCAGGGAGAGACTTGGGTTCCAGGCAGCCCAACCCCAGACCAGCTGCAGCAGGTGCAGTCAGTCGTCCTCCCAGGCCCACCCTGGGATGCTGCTGACCATTCTCATGTTAATCCCAGGCTTTGATATGTTTTTGCTTCTAATAGCAGCCCCTACACTATTTAGTCAGGCTGCTGGAACCCCTTTTTCCTTTCCTGACTGTAAGGAGAGGAAACTGTATGCACCCCTCCCCACCTCTCAGTCCATCACACCTCATAGCCTTTAACACCTTGACCACTGAGGCGTTGGAGCACAGAAGCTCCCCTCTCCCACCTTGGGTCGAGACATCTCTGGACTTCCACTCCACGCTCCCCCTGCGGGATCAAGCTGAATGTCTCCCCAGGACTGCCTGAGATCACCCCTTCTTTGGCTTCCTTTCCTTCCCAGCCATGCTTTTTCCCCAGTCCCTTAGGGTGTCCCCACTGAGCACTTCCTTCAAAATCACCTCCATGTGAATCCTCGTCCCAGAAGCACTGGATGTGACTTGGGCTGAAATTACTAATGGTCTTTGTGTTCCTTCCCAAACAGCACCTTAACGAAAACCTGGCGAAGCTCACAGCCAAGTTTGAGAAAGCGACGGCAGACAAACTCAAATGTCAGCAAGAAGCCGAAGTGACCGCAGGCACCATCTCCCTCGCCAACCGCCTGGTGAGCGTGAGCCTTGGCAACCCAGGCTGTAATTATATTAGCTGCGCTTGTCAAGTGCCACAGAGGTGCAAAGTGGATGAGCACAGCTCAGCACCTCTTTGACTTGGGGAAAAATATTAAAATGTACTGAGGTGCAGGGAATGAGTCCTGAGAAAAGTGTGGCTGCCCGATCCAGTCAAAGGAGTTTTCTCATAGAGATGGCTGGGAGGATGGGATCACGGGACCTATCAGGCCGCCCGTGCAAGACAAGACCACGCTCACATGCATGGGTGCCGGCTAGAGGAAGCACTAAAAGACAAAGCTAGCATTTTATAGCCAAACTGGGAAGATCCTATCAATGCAATGCTTGGTGGTAGGGGTGTGACAAAGACTAGGAGCTGAGTTAGAAGCAGAAAAGAATGGTACCTGTTGACCCAAAGCATTTCTGAAGACACGCATACACACACATACACACACCACATGTGCACACACACATGTACAAAGGCTCTGGCCTTTCTGAGAAGACAAGTCTTCAGTCTGAAGATCTGAAGTGGGTATTTGTGTTATGGGTATCTGTGCTACATAACAAATTACCGAAAACTTAAGTGATTTAACACAATAACCATTTCATTATATCTGACAAGTCTCTGGGTCAGGAAATTGGGCAGGGCTTAGCTGGTCAGTTCTTCTGCTCCATGTGGTGAGGACGGGGGCCACTCAGTGTTACTCAGCTGGGGCTAGGCTGGGCTGGAGGGTCCAAGATGACTTCCTTCACGTGTCTGACACCTTGGCAGGGGTGGCTGGAAGGGAGGGCTCAGCTGGGCCTCCCCACCTTTCCACGTAGTCTCAGGGCCTCTCCATGTGATCTCTCCAGCAGGATAGTCGGACGTCTTACATAGTGACTCAGGGCTCCAAGAGCAAGTGTTCCAAGAGAGAGGAGGTGGAAAGTCCCAATTTCTTAAGGCCTGGGACTGAAAACTGGTGCAATGTCACTTCTGCTGTATTCTACAAGTCAAAGCAGTCACAGGTTCAAGGGGAGGGAGCATAGGCACCAACTCTTAATGACAGGAGTGTCAAAGAATTTGTGGCCTTTTTACTTCTCCATGGCTTGTGTTTCTCATCACAAATGTCAGCTAAGATCCTGCAAAGCAGAGTCCACTGGATGTGATTTCTCTTTAATCTGGAGTCTTTATGGCATCTTCCTCGGCAGTGAAGGGAAGTGCAATTGATACCTTTTTACATTTATTCCAGCCACTGTTTGTTTATATGGAAAAGCCAGATTTTTAAATCTAGAAAGCAATGAGTCATAGCCATCAATGAACTACAGCCATGCTTTAGTGGAGAGAGGCCATGCCTCAAGTGTGTGTCTGTGCAGCTGTTGTTGGACCAGCTGCTGCATAGTTTTCAGATGATCAGTTTAGCCAAATAGTTTGGTTTGGAGACAGTGCCTCTGCCAGTGTGCAATAAGCCCTCCAGACCCCCTAGCTGGCCTGCCTTCCATCCCGCTGCCTGCTTCATTCCCAGACTTAGCACAGCCTGCTCTGCCTGGCTGGAGAAATTTTGGAGTCATTCCTCATGGGAGGCAGTGTGGGCTCTGCTGGAGGCATCAGGATGATCAGGGTACCAAACCTAGAGATGCTGGCGAGATGCTTGGTCTTAGTGTCGTCTGAAAACTGGTGTGGGAATGGTTGGGTTGGAAAATCCCTAGGGTCTCTCCAGCTCTGATAGTCTATGATGCCATCATGCAAGGAAAGAATAAAGGAAAAGTCCTAACACAGAAGCTCTGCTCCACCATACGCCTAACAGTCCTCTGTAGACAGGATGGCTCTCCTCCCAGGATAAGCGTGCCCGGGGAGAGTTGTGCCAACCCAGAGTGGGCCGGGAATCAGGACTGTGCTGCAGTCCGTGGTGCTTTGTGCACACCCACGTCCTTACAGTGCTTCTAACACTGTGTCCCAATTACCGTGTCTATCTCTCCACTCACTGTGAGTATTTATTCACGCTGGGCTTGATTTTATTTATTTTAATTTCCCCAGCATGAGGAGAGCAGAAGGGATAGGTGCCTAATTTTCTAACATGTTTTATGGACCAGGCATTGTGCTAAATGAGTAACATGTGTGACCAACAGCCCTTTGAGTGGGTGGTATCCATCTCCACGCATAGAAAGGGTAGAGCCCGGAAGCCTGTGTTCAAACCTGTTGTCTTTCCACAGCCCACATGACGCGTAGCACAGAGCGAGGGCTTGTTTCTGCAATGCTGGCTGCAGCCACTGCAAATCCCCACCGATCAAAAGGGCCCCATAAATGGTGTTCTAAGTCTTCTTGCCACGAAACGTGCAATGCACATTATCCGAGACCGAACCCGCGGCTCTGCAGCTGGCGGTATGACGAGTCCTCTCTTCTCTGGCCTTTGAAATGGTAGGTTGGAGGACTCGCTTCTGAAAACGTGAGGTGGGCAGAAGCCGTGCAGAACTTCAAACAGCAGGAAAGGACGTTATGTGGAGACATTTTACTTACGACAGCTTTCATTTCCTACCTTGGCTTCTTCACAAAGAAATACCGGCAGAGCCTCATGGACGGCACCTGGAGACCCTACCTGAGCCAGCTGAAAGTACGTAAGGCCTGACTGTCTCCTGATTGCAGCGGCCTGGGGCACCACTGAGATCTCATGACAATACTAGCTCAAAGCTTCTAGTGCCCTCTCGCACACTCACATCCGCCACCCCCTGATCACCAGGTGTGAGACCTGCACACCCATGTCCTTCCACTCTGCCCTGCATTGCCGCCTACCGCCCCTAGGCCTGAGGTCCCTCATCTCAGGGCGGCGGACTGGTACTGGTCCATGGCATGTCAGGGACTGGGCAGCAGAGCTCCGCCACCCCCAGCCCCCATCCATGGAAAAATTGTCTTCCATGAAACGTGCGTGGGGGGACGCACAGCAGCAGGTGAGCAGTCGGCCAGCAAGAGAAGCTTCGTTTGCATCTACAACCACTCCCCATCGCTGGCATCACCGCCTGAGTTCCACTCCCCCCCACCCCCGGCCCCCCACCAACCGTGAAAACAGGTCCCTCGTGCGCAGAAGGTTGGGGACTGCTGCCCTAGGCCACCTGGACACAGCATCTCACCTCTTAATGAGGCCCCCCATGGGGACGCTTGTCCTCTGCCCAGCAGGCTGACTCCCGCACTCTTCAAAGCTGGAAAACCCCAGGGAGACACTAAAAGAACCCCGTGCTTCTCTCTGGTCTCCCTGCTCCAGAGCCAGACATCACAGGAGCACTCGGAGAAAGTTCCCTTTCCCAGATTCTTCCTGGCACCTGTCCCTGGGCCCCAGAGCTGCACAGTTTGTGCCCACGACCCACAGATACCCCTATGAAAGCAGCTCCGTCTGCTTCCATCTTGCACATTTTCACGAATAGCTACACACGTGCTTCTCACCTGGGCTGCGCAGCTTGTCCTCTTTGTGTAACTAGGTGGATTTTACTTCCAGCGCCTCCCTCAACACCTGTCCCCCAACCTAATGCAGTGGGGAAATACTAGTTCCTGATTAAAGGACATTCGAAATTACACCTGGACCCTGTCATCAGAGTGAACCCCCTTGGCACGGTCACACCACTCACAGTCAGCAGTCCACGCATACTCACTGTGTATTCAGTGTGTCTAGAACCCCAGCGTATGGGAGGCACAAAAGACATTCAAGACCAGGATGCCTTCGGCAAGTCCTCAGTGCAGTTGAGGAGATTCCGTTCATAAGTCAGTTATGGTAAGAGTCAGCCCAAAAGTTCACAACGTAAAGTTGGGGCTGGATTCCAAAAGCCTTGTGTAGGTGGGTCCATAGCATGCAAAACATACTTTGTACAGTGATGGTTGCTGTCCCAGATCAGCTCCTAAAATCCTACTTACCTGGTGATTTGCTGAATGGTGGTTTAAAAACTGTCACAGTACTAGTAAATAAACAAAAAATAAAGCCGCTATTTTATTCATCTTAACCACTTGTGCAAAAAGGAAGTTGTTGAAAGAACCGTCATTAAGTGGGTGAATAGAGATGAAGAGAGCTCAGTAGCAGCTTAGTGAAGATTTTTCTGCCTTTGGGGTTCTTAAGCATTTTTGCACCATGAACTTCTTTGGCAGTCTCATAAAGCATGTGATTTCTTCTCAGCATAATGTTTTTGAGCATGTAAAATAGAATACATACGATTACACAGGGAAAAATTATATTCAAACACATTTCTGATCCCAGGACAAGAACCCCCAAGGGGCTGACTTCCCTTTGGAGCTTGGCACTGGCCATTTGTGCCCTTAGCAGACACAAACAGAGGGACAGGAGGTGAATTGGAAATGTTTTTTTGAGTAACTGGGCAAAACAAACGTCAGAGAGGAAAGAGATGAAGTGGTCGAAAGGGTATTTGAAAACATATGCTAAGTGGAAGTAGCCAGACACAAAAGGTCACATATTGTATGATTCTGTTTATATTAAATATCCAGAATAGGGAAATCCATAGAGACAGAACACATATTAGTAGTTTACAGGACCTGGAGATAGAAGGACATGGGAGGGAAGGGTAAGGGGAACTGTTTAGTGAGTATGAAGTTTCCTTTTGGGGTAATGAGAATGTTCTGGAACTAGATAGAGCTCATGGTTGCACAACATTGTGAATGCACTAACTGCCACTGAATTGTGCACCTTAAGATGGTTAATTTTATGTTGTGTGAATTTTACCTCAATTTGAAAAAAACAATGAGTCACCAGTGCAAAAGATTGCTTGTAAAAGAATTAAGTGAGCAGAGAGGCTATCAGAGCAGAAACGGAAGGGTCTAGTGCACACACAGGAGCCCTGCAGGGGCACAGGAGTGGCGGTGGGGAGTTCTTGGGCCTGGTGGCAGCAGCAAACAAGTTTACAGGGAGGGGTCCTGCAAGTGGCCCTGGGAGTGGAGTGTTTGGGGACAAGGAAAGGTAAGCCCCTTCAGCCCTTTAAAGGCTGGTGACATAGATGAGAGGCAGAGTGGTTTGTGCAGACGGGTGCAGGCGGAGCAAACCCACTGGGCATGGGGCCTGGTGCTGATGCATGGAGCAGGCAGGAGACACGCAGAAATGTAGCAGAGAAGCAACGCTGTTGCCATAGGGGAGGGCATGCAGGAGGGTGTAGAGTGACACACAAACGATCCAGTAGAAACTTGATTTGGGTGAAGATACTGAGGAACAAAGAGCTGGTCATGCGGGCTGAATTTCTGCTGTCATTCATCCGTCAAGAGCAAAAAGACCATCAGGACTTTAACAGAACCTGCTTCCAGAAATAATCACACAGCTAGAAAAGCACTCTTCCGGGGGTGTTGATCTTGCTTTTAAATAAGTTATGTCATTTAGTGAAATCCTGTGTATTCCCCCGCCAAGCTGAGAAAGCGCTCTTCCGCTCTGAGTGTGGGGTGGCGTTTCTTCTTCTCCAGGCTCCCATCCCACTCACCCCAGCCCTGGACCCCCTGCGGATGCTGACGGACGACGCCGACGTGGCTGCCTGGCAGAACCAGGGCCTCCCTGCGGACCGCATGTCCATGGAGAATGCTGCCATCCTCATCAACTGCGAGCGCTGGCCGCTCATGGTGGACCCTCAGCTGCAAGGCATCAAATGGATCAAGAACAGATACGGTGAAAACCTCCGGGTCACCCAGGTTGGTCAGAAAGGGTAAGTGGCTGAGCACAAAAGTTCTCAACTTTTCCATTGGTGCAGGGAAAACAAATATTGTGAGCAGATTTTGAGCCCCAGTGGAGTGTTTCCACCCTCCTGATCTCTCCATGAGGCTTGTTTGTCCTCCCACTTTAGGGGACATCTCAATGGAAGGTGCCTGGGTACTAAGTCTTTGCTTTTCTTTCTTGTAGAAATTGTGTGCTGCAGCCTCTCAGGCCATTCGTGGGTCTTTTCTCCACCATCCCCGGTGTTCATTCTCCCATCTCTCCTTAAACACTGCCTGTCTCCCAAAACTTCTGGTCCCGTTGTTGGACAACTCTGTGTTTTACAAAGTCTTCCTCACTTTAGCCAAAAGTTACCTCCCTGAACAATCCCCTATCCATTGTTCCCACCTCTGCCCCTGACCTAGGGCCACAGAGAACAAACTAAACTCTCCTTCTCCTGAGGCACATGGGTATTTCAGCTGGTTGCGGAGCAGCTGACTGACTCATGAAATGTGCAGAGCCCTTGGTACCGGCCAGGCAGCTTTGTACATGCAAGATGGGGAAGTCACTTCATGCAGGGACATGACTGTGGACAGGGCATCTGGCCAGCACCACCCTGCTTCACCGACCTGAGTCTCAGTATCTCTCACCCATCGCTTCATCAGCCCCTCACAGCTCAGCTTTGTCGTCTCGGTACTTGGTACTCATCTCTTGCTCCGTGCCCTTGGTACACGTGGGGAGAATGGGAAGCAGCAGTAGGGGAGAGGAGAGGCTGACATCATATATTAGGAGGCCGGTATGTGTCATTCTTGGCCTTAGGGGCTTTGTGCCACATGATTTCCTTAGTCCACGCAGCCAATAAGGTCAGTGTTATTGGTTCCATTTCACATCGGAGGAGACTGAGGTTTACAGAAGTTAATCAATTTCCCCAAGAATATACCATTTTAAAAGTCATGGTGATTTTGCACTCATGGTCATAGCAGCATTGCAATAGCCAAAAGGTGGAAGCAACCAAAGTTTCCATTGGCAGATGAGTGGATAACACAACGTGGTGTGCACAGAAAATGGAATGTCATTCAGTCTTAAAAGGAAGAAAATTCTGACCTGCCACAGTATGGATGAATGTTGAAGATATTCCACTTAGAGAAATAAGCCGGCGACAAGAAGATAAACCCTGTAGGATTCCTCTCATCTGAGGTGCCTAGGGCAGTCAAATTCGTAGAGACAGAAAGCAGGATGGCGGTTGCCAGGGGCTGGGGAGGGGAGGGAGACAGGAAGTTAATGTTTAACCGGGACAGAGTTTCCATCTCACAAGAACGGTTCTGTGAAGGTTTGGTGATGACGGATGCACAACGGCGTGAATGCCACTGAGCTGTGCATTTAACAATGGTTACGACTGTGAATTTTATATGTATTTTACTACAATTAGAAATACATTAATTAATAAATTAAAAAAATAATAATGGAGACAATAATTTTGAACCCAGGTCATCCTTACCTAGAAACCTGAGATTTCTCGACTCTAGCACGTGACCACCAAAGTGAGGTTCGCTGCTCTGGCCACATCCCGGGCATGTTTTCCCAGAGGTCCGGGTCACCCAGTGTTATTTAAATCAAACATGTAACGTGAAAAATAATAGTTAAGCAGAGAAAATACGGAATACTAAAACAGATCCTTCTTACAGAGTGAGTTTTGTTGAGAAACGAATGCTGAGTTATGACATGATGTATTTTTATCTCCATCTTCAGTCACAGAGTGATCTAACCCTGGCCTTCTCCCCAAAACTTTCATTGAAATATTCCTTTATAATTCACTAATGAATATATTTTAGACAGAAGTGTGTGTCTTTTTGCTCATTGCTATATCTCTTGTACCAAACACACTGCCCGACACACCCTAGGCCCTCGATAAATATTTGTTCAATTAATTCTCTGTTTAAGTCCATTGACTACTTTCTGTTGGGTGGTTTTCTAGATTAGTCGTATGTTCCTTGAATACAAATATTGTGTTACGTACGTTAATACTTTGTTTGGTCTTCTTCCATCACATGGATGAAAAGGAGTGTTCAAGTGGCTCATTTGCCTTTTCATTTTATTTGTGGGGTTAGACATGCTACAGTTCATTTTATTTTAGCTGTTATTTGATCTGAATTGTCACCCATTTCATCTCTAGATAACGTTTAGAGAAGTCTTTCTTCTCCAGGAATTATTTAAATATTCACCTACATTTTTAGTTTTTTACGGGTCTTCTTTTTACATTGAAATCCGATCAATTTAAATATATTTTAAGCTACTCTATGAGGTACAGACTAATTTTCGAAGTGGTTAGCTGTTGCTCCAATACCATCTATTAAATTTTCCATCCTTTCCTTGATGAATTAGAGATGCCACTTTGCTATATATTAAATTATTTTATTAAATAGGGTTTTTATTCTTTTCTGTTTGTCTAACATTGTACCAGCCTGTAATTATGTAGCTTCATATTTAGCAACATTTATTGTGATATTTCACATTACAAAAGTAATGTATCATCATTGTAAAGAAAAGTGGAGAGGGAAGAGTTATAAGAAAGACAAGAACTTCTATAATTCATCATTCAAAAACTCTGCTAACTTTTTGGTATATGATGTCCTTTAAGACATCTTTCTACACACCTGTACTGTTGAAGTCATACAAAATATTTAAGACTGATAATATGAGTCCCTCCTCTTCCTCATTATCATTTTTTCCCTTTACCATCCTCAGGATATTATTTTAGGTTAACTTTAAGATCTTTGGTCAAGTTCAGTAAAGGTTTCTTGTTATTTTTTGTGAGAACTGTATTATATCAAACTTATTAAATGATTTAGGGAAAACTGACCTATTTGCATGTTTATTAAACCCTATATAGCACTGAAAAGTTAAAAGTAAGCTAGATCTTTGTTAACTGATTGCTAAATTAAGGTGTTTCAATAGGGTCTACTACCCGGTCATTACGAATTGTATGGAAGAATATTTAATCACATGGGGAAATGTTTACATTTTATGTACAAAAACCAGGTTATATAAGGTGCCATATGAATCCAATGATATAAAAACTAAACTTGAAAACATAATCTATCCAAATATACACATTAAACATCAACATGTTAATGACAGATGGAGGGTTTGTGGTTAATTTTCATGGGTTTTTTTTTGTATTTTGTAATTTCTCCCTGTTTTTAGAAATGTATAAAATCACGTAAATATGACTTTAAATAGAAAAAAACTGTGGCCACAGAAGACAGTCTAAATAGTCGTGCTTCTGCGTTTACCACTGCGCCTTAGAGGCCACAGTTGGCTTGTTAAATTGCCTCTGAATCCACACCTCGCCTGACGCAGGCGCAGACTGCCTGACGCAGGCTTGCTTCCCCAGCTACCTGCAAACCATAGAGCATGCTCTGGACGCGGGAGACGCGGTGCTGATTGAAAACCTGGAGGAGTCCATTGATCCTGTTCTGGGACCCCTGCTTGGGAGGGAAGTCATTAAAAAAGGACGGTAAGACCCAGCCACACTGCTGACCCTTTGCGAGGAGCAGGTTCACGGTCCTGGTTAGAGCCGTGGAGAGGTCCACTCTTCCCAGAATCTCCTCCTCAGCTCAAGTTGGGCGCTCCCTGCGGCGCGCCTGCCTTTCCCTCCTCCCGCAGAAGGCCACGCAGCTGCCCTGGGCTCCTGGAGAAAGTTTCCTGGAATGACCTTCCCTCCGTCAGTCCATGCCCTCACTGACTTCCTTTTACATGGCCACAGGGAACAATTTGGAAGGAACTTAAGAAGGACAGTGGTCCAAAAGCTGACTGACTTTTAAGCGTGAGCATTTTATCCGAGCCAGTTGTCTGAGTTCCAGAACTCGGCTCCTTGTCAACTTGATGAGCCTCTGCCACTTTGGGTCCTGGTGCGTGATCAGGGCTTAGCAAGCGGGCGGCAGGAGGAGGAGATGGTGTGGAAGGAAGACGAGAGGGAGGAGAAGGGCACTCGGCTCACAGGACAGGGAGCAATGCTTGTCGTGGAGGCTGCTTGACACAGGAGCCTCACCCGCTGCCCAGGCCGTAAATTGCCCTTCCATGTCCTTAGCTTGTGTTCATTTACTCATTTAATCATTTTCTCCTGTAGAAGTCATTCCCCTGTCAGCCATCAGAAAAAGTAAGCCTTACTAGCCTATAAAGCACCTTTGTGCACACTACAGGAAGTTTCTCCTTCCTCCAAACACTTCGCTGCCATCTGCTGGAAACTTTCCGTAATATGTAATGCTAATCTACATTGCTGCGAATGGCAGTGGCTCTTCCTGGAGCTCCACAGTTCAAAAGTGACCATGGTGGCCATGGGAGAGTCTAGCCCCCTGCACACCTGTTTCCCACATCGGGACAAAGAAGGACGCTGGGGCTCACGCTAGACATGCCTAGGAGGACTCCATCTGAATATGGCAATATTGTTTGCTATGATCTTGCAAAAAAAAAAAAAATTCTAGAATCTGTCCCTGACCAAATCTTGCAGGAAGGCCTCCACCTTCACGTGAGCCTTTCTGTTCCAGATTCATTAAAATTGGAGACAAAGAATGTGACTACAATCCCAAGTTCCAGCTCATCCTTCACACCAAGCTGGCCAATCCCCACTACCAGCCTGAGCTGCAGGCCCAGGCCACTCTGATCAACTTCACCGTGACCAGGGACGGCCTGGAGGACCAGCTACTGGCTGCCGTGGTCAGCATGGAGAGGCCGGACCTGGAGCAGCTGAAGGTGCGTCAGGTATCCGCTGAGGACCGGAGGAAGAAAAGGCTCTGCCGCTAGATCCTGCAGGGCACCCCACCCTGGGAAGGGGTGGGAGGGGCTTTTTATTCTGGGGCCGAGCAGAGTGGGCTCTGCCGGACCTTGGAAGAATGCCAACCCCATCTAGCCACCTGGGAACACCAGGCTGGGCAAAGAAGGATAGGGCGAGTCAAAGACAGTTGGGAGAATGGACACTCCTATGGCCAAGAGCAGGGCTACAGCCACGAGGGCCTCTGATCACGTGCATGCACACACGTGCACACACATGCACATGCCTATGTCCAGAACTCAATGGAATGAAATTCTGCAAGGATAACAGAAATGGGTTCAACCAATTTAGGGCCATGTCTTAGCTCAGGCTGCCACAACAAAATGCCATAGACCGGGGACCAGGGGACTTAAACAACAGACATTTATTTCTCACAATTCTAGAGGCTGGAAGTCTGAGATCAGGGTGCCGGCATGGCTGGTTTCTGGTGAGGCCTCTCTTCCTGGCTGGCAGGTGGCCACCTTCTTGCCATGTCCTCACATGACCTCTTCTTTGAGCATGCGTGAAGAGATGGAGAAAGCTCTCTGATTTCTCTTATGAAGGCACTGATCCCATTGGCCCAGGGCTCCACTCTTATGACCTCATTTAACCTTTATCACCTTCTTAATGGCCCCATTTCCAATACAGTCATATAGGGAGTTAGGGCTTCAATGTATGAATTTTGGGAGAGCACAATTCAGTCCATAGCAGATAACATGCTTTTTGTCCTCTCTTTAAACATGATTATTTGAGCTCAAAATTCCCATGCATATGACATTGAGTTCAGGGTTCCCTGGGACTGTGCTTCCTGCAATCATTCATTCATTGCACAGGTACCTGTGGAACACCAACTCTCTAACAGGCAAGATGATAGGTACGGAGGATTCAACAGTGAACAAGGAAAACCCAGTCCCTGCCCTCGTGGAACTTACAGTCCAGTGGAGGAACATAGAAAATAAGAATGTAAACAAATAAATAATGTCATTCGGGTAGTGATAAGAATTTTCAAGAGAATAAAACAGGGTACTACCAGAAAACTAGAGGGCTAATTTAAACTGTGGTGGTGAGAAAAAGATTCTACGAGGAGTTGGCACCTGAGCTAATTCCTAAATAACTTTGAAACCTCTGTGGGCATGGAGCATTCTCAGCAGAGAGAACATCAAATCCTAGTGTTAAGGCAGGATTGAGATATGTGTTTTTAAAACAGAAGATAGGCCAGGGTGGCCGTAGCTGGAGCTTTCACCAGGAAAGTTGTTTTCTCCACAGATCCGAAGGCTGTACAAGGGCAAAGAAACTACAGCCGCCTGAAGTTAACTCCCCACCCCCCAAAATAAAAATACAAAGCATCTGGTGCTTTAGGGTGCGGAACACTCAGAAAGGGAAGATGAGGTGGGATCTGCTTGGATACTAGCACCCTGCTCCAGCCTTGGGGAAGCCTCCTTGCAATGATCTTGTCTAAACTGTACCAAGCCTGTTTCTGCTGATTTTTTTTCCCAAAAAATAAAATTAATTCATAGGAGAGCTGTTCATCTGGGGGCAGTAAAGTGGCGATAGAGAGGACCCTCCAGAGAACTAGAACTAGACCCTTCCCTCTTAGTCACAGAAGTAAGCTCCATTTAGTGAAGGCTGACTGTGTCAGCACTGTGTTAAGCACAGCACAAAAATCCTGTGAATGGCCCGGGGATTATCCCCAGTGAAGCCCTGGAAGTGTAAAGAGGGTAACCGGCCCAAGGTCCTGTGCCTGGCATGTGGCACAGTTGGGCTTTGACTCATCTGCTGCATCTTCTGCTCGTGGTCTCAAGCACTCTGCTTTTCTGCCTCCAGTTTGCTAGCTCTAAGGGAGGGCACTCTGGCCTCGTACACATTTCTTCATTCAGACCTATCCTGAGAGTTGGGTGCTTTGGGCATCCATACCTGACTCCTTCTTGCTTGATATTTGCAGTCCGATCTCACGAAACAGCAGAATGGATTCAAAATCACCCTCAAAACACTGGAAGACAACCTGCTTTCTCGCCTCTCCTCAGCATCTGGGAACTTCCTGGGAGAAACAGCCTTGGTGGAGAGCCTGGAGGCCACCAAGCAGACTGCTGCAGAGATCGGGAAAAAGGCAAGGCTCCCCTGGCTACTCCAGGGACGCAGAGGGGCTGGGGTCCTCCTACTGTTGCCTCTCCTCTTTGTCCCTGAGTCTGACTTTTAGAGAAAAGAAGTTAGAGTAATAGATGGCTTTCCATCTTAACAGGTTTCTCCTAGAAAGTCCACTTAGGCAGGATTCCTGAAATAACTGCCTCCCGGATTATGGAGTTCCCACCTTTTGGGAAATGCTTTTGACATCTCAACCCCGCAGATGCTCGAGCCCTTAAGTCTGTGCAGAGCCGGGTATTCTGTGCAGGGAGTGGCGGCTCAGACTCGATACCTCAGACAGTCGTGGAACTGCCCTGAAGCTCAGGAATCATGTTGCTGTGAAGGTTGACAGGTTTGGGCATGACTGAATCCTGAGAAAACCTGCTGGACTGCAAAAATACCACTCACAAGTCTGATTTTAATGAGAAAACTTCAATGACTTCCTGGGAAACTCAGCTCTCAAAAACTATCATCCTGGGAAACAATTATGGTACAACATATAGCTTTCTCCCTTTATATTTCACAATGTTGGGAAGGCGTTTATTCCCCTCGTGGGGATGCACAAGATGTGACTTGACGGGGAAGGGCCCCAAGCCCTGGCTCGCTCCCTGCAGACTGCCAGCCCTACCCAGGGCCTTCTGCAATCCTAGTCCTGCTCTTAGATCAGAAGAATAGTTAAGGTACGGGTTCTGAGCAGGAGAGAGCATATCTGTACAGCACCCAGGAGCAACATACCTTTGAGGGAATATGCTTATTGCTAGATTATTGGGATTTCTCCAAATACAAAAGACTTTGTTCCGGGTCAGGACAAGGTAGGAAACATGAAAAGTAATGATGGACAAAGCAGATAAGCCAGGTCACGCCCACTCTGGGATAACAGACAACTGAGGACAGAAGAGAGGAAGGTCCAACCTACACTGGCTCAGCAGCTGCTGCGCAACCACCAGGTTTTACCACCTGCTACCCATGGCTTCCGTATCTCTAGATGGGGGCATGAGGAGTGTGTAAAGGAATTATGGTGGAAGTTCTGCCATGCTGAGCAGGAGAGACGGGGACAGAACCCCACTCACGTAGAGGGAGCAGGTCAGAGGATGGGCTCGCCCACATTGATCTCATCTCCCCGCCTCCTCCTCCCTTCTTTCTTATCCTTTCTTTAAAATCAGTGAACACTTACTGAGCAACTGCTCTATGCCAAGGGATGTATGAAGCTTTTTTTCTTTCCTTTTATTGTTCCTCTTCTTTTGGTCTTCTTTCTCTTTCTCATTCATTTATGAACAAGAATGAATGCTTATTTGGAGGCTACTATATTCCAAGGTCTGTGATGGAAGTTGGGGATACAACAAGGAACTTGCCAGAATCCCAGTTTTCCAGGACCTGGGCCTCTACAGAAGAAAGACAAGTAAACAGATGGTTAGAAAACAGTGATGAGGGCTGAGGTAGCAGATGCACAGGGAGCCCCAAGCACACAAAGGAGGTGCAATCAACCCACGCTGGTTAGGAAGGAGGGGGATGCTTCCCATTAGTGCTAGTGTCACTGGAACATAGAGAGGGTGAGGCTGGAAGTGGCCCCTGGAGAGGAGCCATGAAAGGTAGCCTGAGTTTCCACTGTGACGGGCTTTGTAAATCATGCTGAGAAGATTGGACTTTCTCCCGATGTCAGTCGGAGATCATTAAAGAGTTTGGGATTTTTTTTCCTTTTAGATAGGATGGTAACATGGTGAGATTTGTGCTTGAGAAAGATCTGCTACAATCTGTAAGAGAGATTGATAATTCAGGAGTCAGAGAAAATAGTAGGAGGTGCATGAATTCAAATTAGAGATGACGGTGTACTGAGTTATGGGAGTGGCAGTGGTGGCAGAAAGGAGTAGACAAATTCAAGAGCTATTAAGGAAGCAGAATTGAAAAATTTGCTAATTAATTGGATATGATTGCATTTGGATAAAGGAGCAGTCAAGGAAGAGACTTGGGTTCCTGGGTTAAACATCTGGATAGATATTGGTACCAATCCCAGAAAGAAGGTGAGCAAAAGTGGTTTTGGGGGTGAGAAAAAATGATGGTTATAGTTCACATTATGTTGAGTTTGGAATGCTTTTGAGCCATTCACATAGAAATGTCTTGTAGGTTTTTGGATATACAGTCTCTGGTGGCATTAGGGTCCTGAGAGTCATCAGCAAGCAGTCGACAGTTGAACTCTTGAGAGTGGAAAAAGTCACGTAGGAGAGGTGTATGCAATGATAAGACTGAGAGTAGAGCACTGGGGACCACTAATACGTTTTAAGAGAAGTACAGAAGATGTGCAGCATGGAATAGGGCAGAAATGAGAGGAAAGGCAGGTAAATAAGGTATGAAAAAAGAGAGCATTTCAAGAAGAAAGGGTGACAGTGGTGCTAAATGTTTCTGAGAACTCAAATAATATATGGCTGAGATGTGGCCATTGAATTTTGCAAAAAGGAGTTATTAATGATCTTGAAAAGAATGGTTTTGATGAAGTAATGGAAGCAGAACAAGATTGCATTAGAACGAGAGTTGAGAAAGAGAAAAACTATGAAATGCTAGAGAGAGGGTTAGACTTTTGAGGAGATCATGGGATCTTTGGAGGCTTTTTCCCCTGAGATGGGAGAGACCTGAGCATGCTAAGATGGAGGTGGGAAGATGCATGGATTATAAAGGAAAAGAAAAAAGAGTAGTTGAGGATAGGATTTGAATTTACAGGAATGAGAGTGAATGGTTAATACACTTCGTTAGGAGATTATAGTTCATGTGACAGATAAGCTTATCTTTAGAAAGACGGAGAGTCAGTTCCCAAGGTGATAGGGAATAGGGGGCAAACAAGAGTCTAGAAATGGTTCATGGGTGCAATTTGCATAGAACAGACAGTTAACAGAATGGAGGGAGAAGCATAAATTAAGGTAATTCCTTCCCAACGGTCTCCATTAATATATAATCCGTGAACACATGCGTAAGTTCATCTGCAGAGAGTGAGGAAATAGTGGTGAGGTAGGGGCCTGGCAGAGAGGGTGAAGGTTTACAATAGTTGTTGTGGAAAATGGGAATAAAATTTGGGTAGAGTCATGGAGATTAATGAACAGCATAAAAGACTCAAGTGAGGTTGAAGACTATGAACTCATCATAACACCAATCTGAGCAATTACATGAATTTTATTCAGTTCCACCCTCTTTGGAGAATTTTTGCCTTTTAACTACTGAACTTAACCAATTTACATTTATTAACATTATTGATAAGTTGAATTTTTTTCTACTATCTTAATTTGTATTTTCTATTAACTGTGCTTTTTTTTCTCCTTTCTTGATTTTTCTTGATTTTCCTATATCCCTCTTCTTTTATGCTTTGTGGATTTTAAAGCTATTCACACTTTTTTTTATTAATTAACCTTGCTTTATTTATATATTAAAAATCTATTCCATTTTATATATGAGGTGTGTGTGCATGTGTATGTGTGTGTATATATATATGTATGTATAAAACAAAGTCTAAAATTAAGCAATATATCTAGGCTCTTCCAAAACTATGTGAGAACTTTAGAGTACTTTAATACGTAAACTATGATCATTCTCTCTCATCTTCTGTTACTGTTTTATAAAACACCTTACAGTGTTGTTGCTACTAAGAATCTTCTTTCAGTCTAACTATGGTTTCTTTATAGATACTTTGTCTTTTCTTTCCAGTCATTTTTAGCACTTTCTTTTCATCTCCGGTACTCCAACATTTTACTACTTAGTGAGTATTTATCTTTCATGTATTATTCTTAAGAGTGATAAGCTTCTTCAAAGTATGAGCTCTGTTCTTTCAACAACTTTGAAAAATTCTTAATTATTATAGTTTCAAATATTGCCTCCCCTTCATTCTCTCTATTCTCTGCTGATTTCTCTTGAGTGTATTTTAAATCTCATTCCATCTGCCAAGTCTCAAAACCTCTTTTATATAGGTTCCATCTTTGTCTCTTCCTGAGTTGCTTCCATAACAATTTCCTCAGCTCTCTCTTAGTTTGCTTATTCTCTTTTCAACTCTAGTCTACTATTTGACCTGTACACTTTTTTCATTTAAATAATTATATTCTTATTCTTAGAAGTTCTAGTTAGTTCTTTTTCAGGTATGCCTGTTCTTTTTTATAATGTCCTTGTTTTAGGCATTCTTTTATATCTACTGCTCTGAAACATACTTAATGGTGAGCTTTAAGTTGTTCAATTATCTTCAGTTCTTGGGATATTAATCCTTCTGGAGCTTTTTGTTTTTGTATTTTTTTTGTTTGTTTTTTGTCTTTTGTTTTTGTTTTTGGAAGGGGTCTTGTAATTGTCCCCTTTGGTAACACTTCCTCCCAGAGTTTGTAATTGTTTACTAAGAGACCATCTTCAACAGGGGTGATTGCCTTTTCCTGTGGTATTCCCACAAGTTATCAGAAGTTTCGTTCTATTTCAGGGCATAAGGGCAGAGCATATTGAGGTTTGTATTTAGTGGCACATTTTAACAGAAATCTCTCTCCTGATGCTCAGGTCTCTTGTCTTATTTTTACTTGTGATAAGAAATTTTCTGAAAACAGAATATTCCATTGAAAGAGATCTTCTTTGTGAATTTGCATACCAGCCATCTCATAAAAATTAAGAAAAAAGAAAATTACACTATCCTTCTTTCTCTGGATTTCCACTGCTTGACATTCTAATTCATTTTCAAGTCACATATATTTTTTGCTTTTCCATGAAATCTTTCTCATTAGAGATGGAGATTGGAGACTTGCATGGCCCACACTTGCCAGCTGGAAGAAATGACACCCTCACCCTTGTGAAGAGCTAGACGTGCACCATCTCCTTTCTCACTCGAGCTCTATTAAGGAATAACATGGTAGCCTTTCAACCCTCTGCCCACCATCCCCATCCCAATTCACTCCACCCCCACATACAGACACATGTCTACTCACACAGAGAGGCCAAGCTAACTCTCAGGAAGCCCTGGTTGGTTTGAACAGTGGACTATTTATTCTCCCCACAGGTGCAGGAGGCCAAGGTCACCGAAGTGAAGATCAATGAGGCCCGGGAGCACTACCGGCCAGCTGCTGCCCGAGCATCTCTGCTCTACTTCATCATGAACGACCTCAGCAAGATCCATCCAATGTACCAGTTTTCTCTCAAGGTGACTTAAGCTGAAGTTTCCACATAATCATAGTAAAGGAGTATGACATTGCTGACGCAGCTCTCCCTGAGAGCCCATCCATGTGCTTCATTAGCTATGGCAGATCTATGAGATCAAAGCCAGGAGAGCAGCTACATTACCTTTAGACCTGTATTACCATCCTCATCTCTTTAATTGGGTCTTACATGACTCACTGGTAACTTTGGCTGGAACTTTGGGCCACCACAGCAAAGGCCCAGCCTTTTGAGACAGCAAGTGTCAGCATCATTCATTCAGTAAGCACAACGTGTTTATTGACTGTATGGAAGAGAATACAAATGAAATATAACAAGTGATCCCTGTCCCCGAAGAACTTAAAGCGTAATAGAGACAATCAAATGTGAATGTCATTTGTACTGACTAAAGTCCAAAGCAGACAATAATAATAGACCAAGTTTAAATTATTTCTCTTATTACTCTAATATCCCCAAAGCTCCCACTTTGTGGTTGCTGAAATATTCCTAAAACCAAATACGTTAGCAGATTGTAAGTGCTGACTAAACTCACCTTACTCATGAAAAAATAAAGACCTATAAATTTTAAGTGCATCTCTAAAAGTGCATTTTTCTCCCTTGGGGATTCATCAAAGGACCACAGCTGAAGAGGCATTAGGAGGTGGTGGAGAATTTCTGAACAACTTCTTTGGTTTGACCCAGCAAAGAGGACACACACACACACACACACAGACATAAGGAGAGAGGGGAGAGAGAGAACATATGCATGTAGACACACAGAGATTTCACACACACATGCAGAGCACACACTTCAGTTCTGTGAAGTGTTCTCAACTAGCCCCCCACATGGAGGCCCAGCTGTGGGAGTGGTGATGAACAGATGAGAAGTCAGAGGGCCTCCAGCTCCTGGGGCTCATTTCATTGGAAATGGCATTTCACTGTTTCCCGATCCCTTTCCCCTAAATCAGAGTCTCTTCACATTGGATGAACTGTGTTTATAATATTTTATGCTTTTAAAAAGAAAGTCAATACTTGGCCTTATATTTGGGTCAAGGCAACATATGAGAGAATTATAAAATATTTTAAAACAGTATAAAACTTAACAGGATAAGCCTAATAACTACAGGGTCACCTCCCTAGTTGAAAGAACTTGGAAGCGCACCACATGATTAAGATGGAACTTAAGTGATTGCAAAGTAGCTTTTCTTCAAGACTCAGCCAAAGGCTAGGAAAGGGTTAATGAGACACACTTGGAGGGTGCCAAGGAGGGAGAAGACACCTCCCTGGGGTCTCCTGCAGACTGATGGAAGACCTGGCTTCCTCTGTCCTGTGCATTGGGCAGAGAGGCAAGGCTGGAGGAATAATATTTCTCAAAGAGATTAGAAAGGGAAGCCTCAGACAGGCAGAAGCAAGTAGAACATGGAGCACTGATCTCAAACCAGAGGCCTAAGAGCCTGTTGACCTCCAAGGGCTTTTCAAATACTTTAATTTGAAACATTTAAAAACAAGAGAAGTAGTCACACAAATCCCAATTTCTGGCATCTCATGAAAGTTTGGAAGATCAGCAGCAGTGAGCTCACATCCCACACAGCATGAATTCACTGGCGCTAAGGGGTGCTGCTCCCTAGGTGGGTGTGTGCCCTCTGCGTTGCCACAGACCCCGCCCTCCCTAGTTGGGCTTACACACCTGGGCCCTGAAGACACTGAGTGTGAGACCCTTGGTCTAGAGCATCCCTCATACTTTGCTTACGCTCTTTCAGCCATTAGCCGGACACAGTCTTTTGTTCAACAAATATTTTTCCGTGCCTATTATATGTGAAGAGATGGGCTAGATTCTGGGAAATACCAGGAAGTGAGTAAGGCCTGTCCCCCACCCTCAGTGTGCTCATAAAGTGATCAAAGTGAAAAGACAAAAAAATAATGCAGATATAAGGCAATGGATAAGGGCCCCCCAAAAAGTTGCAAAAGTTACTGAGTATCTAGGAGGGTGGTTTGAGTCAACGAGCAGACCATGTGGGCAGAAGAGACCTTCTAGAGGAAGCTCTGGGAGTGAGGATCAGGCCCAGCACCGGAGTTGCTCAGAGGCCAGAAGTGAAAGAAGAAATTTTTTTTAAGGATGGAAAAGAAAAAAGAGAGCTAAGGTTAGTTTAATGTAAAGAAAATGTGAAATGTGCTTAGGTTTTTTATTTTCTTTAGATCTCTTCCTGAATTGTGAAACACTTTTAAAGTTAGAAACTAGAGATTCTTTACTGATCACTCTCATTTTGATAGTTTTAGGGAAAAGCCATAGTAACTGCCTGGAGAAAGCCAGCCATTCTGTCTGTACAGACCTGTTCTGCAAGTGGAATCTTCCCAAATAGCTCTGTGTGGTCTTGGGGTACATTATCAGCCTCTAAGGAGCTATTATTCCTATCTAAAATCTACCAAGAGAGCAAATATCACAATGGATTGCATTGAACTCAGGCAGAGGATTTTGCAAAGATCATCAAAGCTAGCTGAAGAAGAGAGTCTGCAAGGGCTTTGTTAACAACAAACTCCCTGGAACTCTGGAATTCGAAGGGGAATTCACACTTTTTTCCCCATCTTGCAAATGAAGAAATACTATGACTCAAATCTTATATGGTTTCCATTGAGGTTCAAATACTTGATATTAGAAAGACTTAAGGTTTTTTTTTCTTCTTGAAGCCACAAAAGGAAGATAAAGAAAAGACTGGAAATCTACATAGCCAAAAATTGAAAAGGTCCAATTTTACCTTGGTTTTTATTTTCTTTAATGATGTGTTCTATTCATATGACATTTAAAATGTAGCATTTCAAATATTTATGTTTATACATTGTCAGTATCTAAGTTTAAAACAGTGAAAAATTGATTTTTTTATATGATTTTTTTTCATATTATACCCATAATGTGTAGTTCAGAAGATGTAACCAAAGCAGGCCACACTCCCAGCATTGCAGGAAGAGTGCATGAGGAAGGACACGCCCAAGAACTCAAATGACTGCAGAGCTAATAGGAAGAAAAACAAAGAACCCCTGAGATTCTGATCATTTCTAAAAGGAAAAATCATTAGTTAAAAATATTCTCCCTTCTTCTGTGCTACCCAGAGAGGGGTCCATGCAGCATTGTTCTGAATTCCAATTGTAACTTAAAGAGAAATTTGCACAGTGTCTAGAGGCCTTGATGTCCTGCAAATGAGGGAGGAGGATGTCCTCATATTTCTTGCAGCAGAAACCCACTTTGGTGGAACCAGCCTTGAGTTCCAGATGGAACGGTACGTCTGCAAAAGGAAAAGTGATGGCATTCATGTCACAAATCTGAAGAGGACCTGGAAGAAGCTTCTGCTGGCAGCTTGTACCATTGTTACCGTTGAAAACTCCGCCGATGTCAGCGTCACATCCTCCAGGAACACCGTGCTGAAGTTTGCTGTTGCCTCTGGAGCCACTCCTATTGCTGGCTGCTTCACTGCTGCAACGCTCACTCACCAGATCCAGGCAGCCTTCCGGGAGCTGTGTCTGCTGGTGGTTACCAATCCTAGGACCGGCTACAGCCTCCCACAGAGGCATCTTAATTAACCTGTGCCTATCTACCACTGCTCTGTATAACACAGATTCTCCTCCGTGTTATGGGGACATCGCCATCCCATGCAACAACAAGGGTGCCCACTCAGTGAGTCTGGTGTGGTGCAGGCTGGCCCGGGAAGCTCTACACCTGTGTGCCACCGTTTCCCATGAACACCCATGGGAGGTCATGCCTGATTTCTACTTCTACAGAGATGCTGAAGAGATTGGAAAGGAAGAGCAGGCTGTGACTAAGGAGGAACTTCGGGGTGAATGGACGGCTCCAGCTCCTGAGGTCACTGCTACTCAGCCTGAGGTTGCAGACTGGTCTGAAGGTGTGCAGGTGCGCTCTGTGACTATTCAGCAGTTCCCCACCGAAACCCTCAGCCTGCCCGGAGAAGCCTGGTCTGCACTACCCACAGCTCAGGCCACCGAATGGGTGGGATCAACCACTGAATGGTCTTAAGCCGTCCTGCCACTCACAAGATGGGAATAAGAGTGACAGAAAATAAAAATTTAGTTTCTTTAAAAAAAATTCTCAGTGCCTATTACATGCAAGGGTCAGTTTTAGACAACAAAGTTGTACCAAACATTGTTTTTACCACCAAGAATTTCATAATCTCCTGGATAGCATCATTAATCCCAGCTGGTTACTGTTGTTGGCTGTCTCTACTTTTTATTCAGGTAGTTATCCAACAAAGACTTCCTGGATTTAGTTTAATTATTGTGGCTGCTGGACACTTACGTTTCACTGATCAAAGCTGTAGGCTCATCTCTCTATGCCCATAGCAGTGTAATAATTCATATGAGCAAACCAAGGAAACAGCTAATAGCACGTTTTCTTGTTACCGTTATCCTTTGTTGGCAGGATATGCTGGCGAAAAATTTCTGTAGGCTGGAACATTATAATATTCTTCTCATGTAAGACCACTGGGATATACAAAGGGAGCTGTGTAAATTACCAGTGTCCCACCTTCTGTCCCCAGGCATTCAGTATCGTCTTCCAGAAGGCCGTGGAGAGGGCAGCTCCTGGCGAGAGCCTCCGGGAGCGGTTGACTAACCTCATAGACAGCGTAACCTTCTCTGTGTACCGGTACACCACGCGGGGGCTCTTCGAGTGTGATAAGCTGACCTACCTTGCCCAGCTCACCTTTCAGGTAAAAGTGGATTAAAGAAGTTTTCAGACAATAGGTCATTTTTAGTGCCCAAATGGCAGGTCTTAAGAAATTTTGCTTTCAACACAGCACAGTCGTCCCTTGGTATCCATGGGGGGGTTGATTCCAGGAATCCCTGTGGATACCAAAATCCATGGGTGCTCAAGTCTCTGATATAAAATGGCATAGTATTTGCATGTAACCTACGCACACCCTCCCATATGCTTTAAATCATCTCCAGATTACTTATACTACCTAATACAACGAAAATGTCATGTAAATGATGGTTATACTATATTGTTTATGCAATAAATAAGCCCTCCAGCAGCCACTACCTATCAATCAAAACTGACACTGAAGATGAAACTAGATGGCCATGCCAATAACTAGATACTTTTCAAGATGCTGTGGAACTATGGTAGAGTATCCTTCACTGTTTGTTTACCTTTGGATTGCAAGTTTCCTGACCCAACCTCCCCCTGGAATAAGAAACTGCACGGGTCTCTCTCTAGCTGCAGTAGCCTTGGCCTTCTCAAGGGCTTGGGAAGCAGGGACTTCCAGTGTTGTGGCCTCTTTGAGAAGAAACCCTTGTCTTGCAGTTATTTTCAACGTCAAAAAGCCATGGGAATTTACTCTCTTGTGCGTATCCCTCTCATCATTTGGAATTGGGAATTTTTTCAATCTGTAAATTGAGAGCACAGCCTACATTCTCTTGAGGGCCTTTTCCAATTCTAAAAGTCAGATATTCCGTCATCACTTGCATGCTCACTCTGTTGGCACCTTTCAAAGCCTGAGTTCATGCGTGTTACTGTGGCTTAGCCCAGTCTGTGTGACAGCTCGGCCTTCACAAAGAGACTCGGACCCCACCTCTCAGTGTGACTCCCGGCTCTCACCAAGCCAGTGCTTCCCCTCCCATGCACGCGCCTCTCTGATTCCCTGCCGCACCTCTGCACTTCCCTTCCCCCTCCCTGGAAAGTCTTCCCTTCCTGTCTAAGTATTCCCATCTCCCACAATAGCTTCTCCAAGATCCAATTCAAAACCACGTATAGATAGTTCAGTCAAATTAGTCTCTCCCCCTCCCCCCTTGCCAGTCCCTCCCCCGTTCTGGAACCCCTGTAGCATTACTGATTCGCGTCTGCATTTCTAGCTTGGACATATTCACATGTCACTTTGACACTTTCCTCAGATCATGTCATTTGCATGCGTTATCAGCTCAATTAGATTACAGGAACATACTCCATGGCATTTATGATTGACACATAATAAATGCTTACTAACCAAGATATACAGTCGTTCATGGTGTGCACGTAAGTCACCCTGATATTTGGGGTGAAAATAGATGGACACGGACGTAACATACACGAATATAGACTTTCTTCCACTCTACCCTTGTTAAACCACTAAAACTTATGGGCCAGTTCTCGCGTCAGAGACAGCAATAATTACACTGGGTGACAACCCCTGGGATCTCCAGGACCCTGTGGCTACCACAAGGTAAAGGAACACAGTGTCATTTTTCCATGTTGCAGATTCTCCTCATGAACCAGGAAGTCGATGCAGCAGAGTTGGATTTTCTGCTTCGGTCCCCAGTGCAGACAGGCACCACCAGCCCAGTGGACTTCCTCTCCCATCAGGCCTGGGGAGCCATCAAGGTCAGTACTGGCCCCTAGAAAAAAGTCAAGTTCTCATCTCTCAGAGTTTGTTCCTGACACTTGTCCTTGCAAAGTCAATGGGGTCGTGTTTTGGAGTCCAAGCACAGAGCTGTGGTAAATATCAGTGCATCCCTTTCCCTACGCCCCTTCTCAAAGCCACCCTCTGGGCCTGCAGAGAAGGAACAGGCGCAAGCTGCAGCGTGAGGGCTCTGCCTCCAGGGTGTGAGGGAACCGGAAGTTCCCGAGAGCTCCTCTGAGTCAGCCGAGCTGCCGTTCACCTGCCGGGGCGGTTCAAGGCTGGAAGGTGGGCTCCTCGGTGAGCCCCGGGCTGATGTGGCGAGGGTGCCACAGCACTGCCATGAAATGAGCAGATGCTGGGACTCAGGCATCTCATGTGAATCCTAACCCAGACTCGAAACAGGGGGTGCATTTCGGCCTGGGATACTCTGCAGTTAGTAATATAATAGATCACATGTACTGAGTGCCTCCGAAACGTGTTGCCTTATTTCATTCTCACGTCTGCTTGGGCAATGTGTATTAATTGTTCCCATTTAACACATGAGGAAATTGAGGTCTGACAGCTTACAAGAAGCAAATCCAGGACACAAATTTTGGTCAATCTGATGGCAAAGCCTATTTTCCTTCCATATTGTGCAGCTTAGTGCAGCTGGTATTCTGTGAACATTGGAAAGATCACAGGCTATAAAGTCCTTTCAACAGGGGCCATGCCGGCATCCACGGGGCCTGACAGGATGCCTGCAGGAAATGCTGACGGCGGTAATGCCACCTCCAGAGAGCCCGGGCCCCGTGCTCCCTGTGCAAAATCCAGTGCACAACCCAGTGCGTGCCCGTGGCAGGTGCCTGTGCAGTGTGAGACGCACCATCTGCATAAGAGGAATCCTGTTTGCGATCTCTGTGTTTGTTGCATTTTATGCATGTTTAGTAGCACAAAGAAGTATGAGTCTAAATTAATATGATTGGCCTTGTTTTTCCTTATATTTTTTACTAAAATTTTTTATTTTGAAGTAATTGTAGATTCACATACAATTTTAATAAATAATACAGGGATAGCCCCTGTCCCCAGTTTCCTGCAGCAATAACATCTTGCATTACTGTAGTACAATAACACATCTGGGAAATTGAGATTGATACGATCCACTCATCTTATTCTCATTTCAGCAGTTAACATGCACTCACGTCTGTATGTTTCATTTCATCACGTGTGTAGATTCATATAATCACCATGATGGTCAAGATATAAACAATTCCATCATTACAAGACCCCTCATGTTGGCCTTTTATAACCACAACGACCTTTCCCTCCCCTAATTCCTAATACCTGCCAGCCACTACTCTGTTCTCCATTTGTATAACTTTTTTCATCTCAAGGATGTTATATAAATGGAATCATACAGTACATAACCTTTTGGGATTGGCTTGTTCACTCAGCATAATTCCTTTGAGATCTATCCAAGTAGATTTACTTTATAACAAAAGCCTACAACTTAATCATTTATATGCATGCTGTACCCTTCAAAGGAGTCATCTCAGGAAATTCTGAGCTAATTCCACTAATGCTACCATTGCTCAAAATATTTTTCCAACTTCTTTTTCAGAGTCTGTATTGTTTCAATCAACTTTAGGACTGTATCTAAATTGGGAGCTGTCAAACTTTTACTGTAAAGGGCCATTTAGAAAATATTTAGGTTTTGCAGGCCTGACTCTGTGGCAACTACTTTACTCTGCCAAAGCCCCATATGCAGTGTGTAAATGAATGGACATGCCTGAGTTCCAATAAAACTTTATTTACAAAAGCAGGTAGAGGCCAGATTGGCCCTGCAAGCTGTAGCTTGCCAATCCCTGATCTAAATAATAAAGGTGTAATTTTATTTTTATTTACCTTCATTTGTCATTCTGGGCCCAATCTAGTGAATGGGAAGGGGAATAATATATTTGGAAAAAAAGCAAAGGGGAACTCCATTCACAACACCAACCAAAATGAAAAAAGTTACAAAATACCTAAGAATGATTATAATAAATACAGAGAAGTGGAAAGCCATCAACTTTTCTAGGCTACATAAAATACAAATGAATAGACACACTTTAGAGGATCACCATTCAAAACAAATACAATGCAGGCCACATATGTAATTTTAAATTTTCTGGTAGCCACATTAAAAAATGTAAAAAGAAATGGATGCAATTAATTTTTATAAGATGTTTTCTTTAACCTAATATAGCCAAAATATTATCATTTTGATATGTAGTTATAAAATTAACAAGATATTTTATATTTTTATGCTGTCTTTGAAATCTGATATGTATTTTTTATACTTATAGCTCATTTCAATTGAGATG